ACTGGCCTACGGCTACTTTTGCACTGTCTGCGCGCGTGATACCAGTTAGTGAAATAAAAAGTGAATCCTCTCATAAGAGCAGCATATTTTAGCACAGTACCCGTTTGATCTTCTATTCAGTCAGCTTAGAAAAAAATGACAGAAAGTTGGAGAGGTCCCTGACTGAATTAATTTTTCCCTCACCATCGAGAAAGCGCGCGAGGCGAAAGAGGAGGCCTATCATTAGTAAGGTCAGTGTTCTGTCAACGGTGAGTCGCAAAGCTATCTGAGGCGGATGACAGAAAATGTGTGATAAAGCTGACTGCTGGGTAACCTTTGGTCGTTATCAGAGAGTGAGGAAAACTAAAAAGAGCACTGAAACCCATGGCGTTGTTCAAATACTCTAAAATACATAATGAACAAAGCGCGCGAATAAAAACGTGGTGTGTAAACAGACTGTAAACAGGATGCAAACTCTAAGCCCTAACGCAAACCTAAGACCTGAGCCTAAGCCCCAAACCCTGACTGCGAATTTTTATACCGTAAGCTTAAGCTCTAACCCTTACCACAAAACTGTATCTGATAACTCCAAATCTTAGTCCTAACCACAACCCCTAAATTCTAAACTAATCCCTACCCCTTTAACTTCAAGTGGTTTGCTATTGGTGTGTTGCAATTTCCTGAAGGGGGTGTCACGTATAGAGGTCCCCTGCTGCGTCTGCCGCAGGATGGTGCGTTCAAGTGTCGTTTGAGAAACCGTGACTTGTTGGGCCCGCGTGTGAGTACGCCTGCGTGCTCGCGCGCGTGTGCGAGGGAATATCGGTCAAGCGTTTCAAGGTCAGCGAATGGGATCAGTCGCCTGTGAAGATACACGACGTTAGGGGGCCCGCGGACATTGACAGAGGAAGGGGAGAGCAGTTGTGGCCGTTCGCCAGAGATTCATGACACTGTTACGCGATATTACATATTACTTTCAGATCAGTGCGCGTTGTTTTAAAAACTCCAACACAGCACGTCATTGGGAAGACTCACAAACTGGTGGTGCAGCTATGCACAACAGAAACCGAGGAGAATGTGCGAAACAGCGAAGAGAAGAGGACTGCATGCACACAAACGTATTAACTCACATAAAGTCAAGGGTCTTTCTGTTGTCCAAAAACCCGAAGAAGGGAGCCGCGTAGGTTATCACCCAACCGTTTTGGAAGCCATAGCAGGCGTAGTAGGGCTCCGTCCAGTAACCATCCTCATAGCGTGGAATTCGGTAGAAGAGGGGGAAGTTGAAGTAGCGCTGGACCTGGGTGCCGTTGATGTTACTGCGGATGTACGGCTTGGTGGTCATTCGTTCCAGACCGAAACGACTTGAGACCCAGCGTTCCTGTGAGGTATCAGGTCAGAATGCATGGGGCTGGATCTAGTAAGCAATGCCTACGGAAACGTTATGGCAACAGTAGTTTAAATAGTGCACCTCACATACCCCTAGTCCCAGCATTTTGTCCTACGGAAACGATGTTTATAGGGGTTTTCTGGGTGAGGAATTAGGATAGGCAGTGAAATATACTTCAATAACTGCTATATATACATTTTTATTTTATTGTATTTAGACATGTTGTTGCTTTATATCTGTAGACTTTCCTAATCTGTATTATCGTTTAACGTATTGTTGAAAAATATGATTACCAAAATGTAGTTTTCTTGAAATTCCTGTAAAATAGAAGTGGTGGTTAGGAGGACGTCTACGTCAACTTACCGTTCTAGAATTAGATTAGTATAGTCCGCAGCGCGAAGTGCCGTGCACAATCTAGATTTATATGCGGAATAATTTGCTCCCATGGGCCGCGGGAAACAAATTTAACTACATTTTCCACCTTACCTTACTTCTACTAATTTCCTTCACTGCTTCCCTGTTTCCCCACAGTCAATACCCCTATAACTACCCTTTCCGTAGGATAAAATACTGGGACTACGGGGTATATGAGGTGCACTACTTAAACTACTTTTGCCAACGCTATTTAACACACGAAGGAGGTAACATAATTTAGGTGCACATAAAATAACGAAAGCAATCGCTACGGCCATCTTCCTAGGAGTTTTCGGCACCACAGAGAGCGCGAGAGAAAAGGCTCATACCCACCTGTGACCTCCAATGGGAGCAAAATTATTGGCAGCAAATACTTTTTTCCCTGGGGTCTACACTGACTGTCTGGGTTAGGTAGAACCTACCCGATGGACATGACCGATGTTGACCTCGCGGACTCGGATCGATGGTCAAGAAAAGCGACCTCTTTTGGACTGTCACATAATTGCGCGCGGTTTCCAAGTCTGCACAATTTTTGTAATGTTATGTTTTGTTTGATGTATTATTATTATTACATTTTGTTCAACTAGTTTAAAAATTGGGAAGAAAAACCTACTTTTTATGGTTTTACTTTAATCTCTAAAATTCGACATAGATTTAACATACGATTGTATCCGTTTTGCGGGTCACATTCGATATAGACTCGACGTACAGTGTTTTTGAGTGCTGAGCTGGGAGGTAAATTAAACTTCTACCGTCCAGTCTACGCATAAACACCTCATTGAGGAAGACATATTGTACTACAAAATGAGTGCAAGAAGTGTTAGTGTTTTGCATGCGTGTTTGGATACACAAAGACATCAAACTTCAATGGAACAAATGATGCTACTCATATTGTTGTGTCTTATAGAGTTTACCTTTTTCGGGCGGCCCTGGTATGACTGAAACACCTTGAGATTATGTCGCATGGTAGTAAATATTAGAACGCCATTCCAGTAACCTTTTTCAAATTTGTCGTGAGTTACGTCACCTTGACACCACCACTGGTTGCAAGAATTTTCACGAAGAGAAACCACGAAGGGATCAGCTTTGTAGGATCAGCTACGCTGAATTACACCCAGTTCGCATTA